ACCACCGCAAGGACAGCCCCCGGGTGCTGGGACTGGCCCGCAGGCGCTGCGCAACATTATCGGTCAAGGTGGCACCGGCATTCCACGTGGCGGCGGCATCCCGAGGCCAGGTGGGCGTGGTGGTGGCCAAGCTGGTAATGGGCCAAACCAGCAGACCGGCGGCCAGCAAGGCCCTGGCAGTCAGCGAGGCAGGGGTGGCGGTCACGGTAGGGGCCGAGGAGGAGGAAATCAAGGTCAAGGCCAAAGTGGTGATGGCGGTCCTGGTGCCGGAAGGGGAATGAATGCCAGCGCGAGACAATTCGTCCCCAACAAGCGGCCGAGAGACGATGCAGGCACAGATGGAGATGGTGGCGGTCCCAAGAGGGCGAGAGGGGGCGGTAATGCTGGATCGTGAGTGCCAGATGATGCGAGGTTGGGGTTTTGCCAACTCTACTTTTTTTTGCTTGACGTTGCTAGTTTCTAAAAATTTGCTTTTCGTTGGCGACGCTGAAGTCGAGCAAGCGGTCATTTCGTTGCTACCGGACACAAGGCGCACACCACAGGGCACAGGGGGTTTTGATCAAGTCTGGCATTCCACCACAGGAGCTGGTGGACTTTTCACTTTTCACACGAGCCTTGTATCATTTCAAAATAGACGGAAGTCGGCAATTTCAAGCCAATAACGATTGGTCCAAAAGGTGCATATTGACTTGCATGGTCAACAGTCTAACCGGGCGAGGCTGTGAAGAACCTCGGGTTGCATCCGACAAGGCTGAGTCTCAGGCTAACGCCTACAGTGGCAAAACGCCGATTTGCGCGTGACGGCTGTTGTCAGCACTCAGCATTGACACGACGATTCTGTGGCTGTCTGCACATGAGGTTTTCCACAACTTGGACGAGCAGTGACGTCAAAATGCAACCCCCGACAGGAATGGTCACCGAATCTCCGTCCGACCAAAAGACCATGCAGCCCGACTCGACTTTGTCGCCCAGGGAACCCTCCCCAACACAACTCTTCCCATTCGATCAGCTTGTCTTGCCAAGCAAAGAACGCGCGTCGGTTAGTACCGGGCTACGCTGCATTTCGTCTCGGAAAGCTTGCAGATGCATTTTGGGTTTTGGAGGGGAACGCGAAGTACAGTACAACAGCGTGCCAACAGCAAAAACTGCTGACCAAATTCCAGTTTGTCTCCTTGCAGCTCCAACGTCTCGAGACCCAGCCTCTGTGCGCGGTTAGTGTAGCGTGACAGGTAGGCAGAAGCCAAGGCACAGTCGACAGACGCGGGGAACAAAGTCGACGCCAACCCAGCGCAAGGTACAACCTTTCATGCGCGTAACACGGCGGGACGGGCAGAGGGCAGCTCAAGCAAGCCCGGGTAGCTAAACCGAGCCGAAACCCACGACCTCCCCGTCTCTTGTCCTGTGCCCATTCTGCCCTTTTTTCAATGGCGCCTCCGTCTGCTTGACCCAGTCCGCCACTATCCCGCGCGCTTCCTATGACGTATGCCAATGGCTACGGAGCAGCATCCGCCGGCCGTCTCTCGGATTGGCGCTGTCGTTGTTTGTGGGGAAGCTGGGATGCGCTCATCGTGTCATCCATGAGGGTGGCCAAGGAAGTTCACTTGGGTCAGGACCGTGAGAGGGAAGCAGCATGAAGTTGAGGCCCGGCATATCGGGAGGCTGGATTCCTGCATGTCTGATTGCGTGTTGAAGACTGTTGGAGGTGAGGTAAGGTCAGAATAAGCTGCAGATAGCTCCTCCAGTCGAGAAATGCACTGCCGCCATAGTAGGCAGATGCTGGGTGCGGGTGCGGGTGCGGCTGGCTGACGGCGGGGGTTAGGGACGCGTTTCAAAGCGGATATATTTCTAATGTGCTTGGTAGATCGTTCTCCACTCCGCTCTCTCATCAACCTGCTTACTTGCGCTCCACCGCTGTGGTCAGGCTGCGTTGTCCGTGGGTTGGTTAGCTTTGGTCGCATGTCTTAGGCGACGTCAACCCAACTTCATACCCAAACTACCTGACCTCACCACCCATCCCCTCCGCAAACCACATCCTTCCCCGACCTGGTCTCTTACCTGCTCTATTCGACAACCTAACAGCATCTTGCATCTTTCCGGTGGATCCCACGGCTGTCTATCCTTACGCGTAATCACCGAAACATAATCCGACCTATCATCCTCTATCTAGTCCGCATTCAGTAGCATACCCTACCACTCTGCGACGTCTACAATCCAGGCGCAATGTCGACGGCAGTACGTATATTACATCCCTACCGTTTCCGCCCACGCGCTTCCCTTCTTCTCCCATCCCTCCAAATCTTTCATTCACTCATCCGTTCCTGCCTTCCGAGATGTCCGGGGTTGCCCGGGAGGGGAGCAGTCGCGTTCGACTACACACTCATTCACTGCACCATGTTGCGGCGTTATTGACATGCTGCTCTAGGAAGACTGCCTCCTCATCCTCATCGCCATCTTTCTCCCTCCACTCGTCGTCCTGATCAAGCGAGGCTGTGGCCTGAATTTCTGCCTCAACATCCTGTTGACGCTGCTGGGTTGGATACCCGGAATTCTGCGTAAGTCTTTCGCACTGAATCGAGCGCCGTCTCCCGCATTATTTCCATCCCTCTTCGCCCCTATCATCATTTTCGATGCGCAAGCGAATGCGCCAAGTGTGCTTCTCCGACTCGCACTTCGCGCGCAATTTGCGCCACCAGCGGGCCATGTCTCGACAGTTTCACAGACTAACGCAAGTCTCTTGCAGATGCCTGGCTCATCATCGCGACGTCGCCGCGCCGACGCGTCGTCTACCGAAGCACGAACTACCCAACGACGTACGGCGGCCCCGGCTACCAAAGATACCACCGGCGCACTTACTCGGCGTCGCGGCCACGGCGGCGATATTACTACTGAGCTGGAGATGAGGTCGGAGTTGAAGACGGCCTCTCCGGTGTCTGTGGCAAAGAAGAGGGATTACCTGGGAGTGCGGAGGTTGATGCCCTGCGTGGTATGACCTTTCATTGATGGCGACTCGTTGTACGATGCAAGCGGAGTCGGACGACGACATTGTATGTGTATTTTTTCAGATCCATTTCCTGCGTTGGGTGCTCAGGGGTCGTGGAGAATAAGGGGCCACTTTCGACATTGTGCTTTCACGTCGAAGCGGGGTATGGGCCAAACGACAGCATCTCTTTAACCCATCGTGTGGGCGCGCTGCCGACGGGGCTGGTGGAGCTTTCGTGGAAGGGTGAACATAAATATCCCCGGCGGGTCGAATACCCCAATGCTTTGTTTGGGCGGAATGAGGTTAGTCAAATTTCTGCTTCTCTGCGGTCAGGGGGGTTGGGAATGGAAAGTTGCCCGACCCTCAAGAAGCAGACTTGGATGCATGTTCTGGTCTTTCATTTGGTGTTCTCGGTGTTTCTAGTCTTCTTGCGCCTGTGCATGTCGAGCCTGTACACGACGATTGTGACGAGTAGAGGAGGAATCTACACATAAAACATGCAAGCATTTGCTAAAATTGAAGTAAACGAGTGACATGAGTGGATTTGGGTAATTACTTTGTCTGACCGCGCTCACTGACCGACCAAGGTGTTGAACGCAAGTGGTGGTCAATAAAGATCAAACCAACGGAGCATCTCCGCCGCCTCGCGGTTGCTGTTTGCGAGGTTCGCGAACCTAGGATTCATGATACTTCTCGAAGCAAGCCCTACTCGATCGACTCATGAAGCTTGGTGTCGTCCATACAAACCTCATGAACCAGTTCAGTTGACAACCACGAACCAGTCAATGACCTCGACCACTTCCAAAGTTGCCTCTCAAAGTCGTTTAGACTTCGCTTACCTTGTAGGACCATTGACAATGAGCAACACGGCGTCGAAGACCCCTAACCCCCTGAACCGTTCTCACCAATTCATAACCCAAAAGTCGCAGGATCCCTGTATCAAAAACGGGGGTGTGGCGCAATGGTAGCGCGTCAGATTCCAGCAATATCTTCATTTAGGACCACACAAAAGGCCTGTTGAAGACAATATTGGAAGTTCCTGAAGGCTATGCGTTCAAATCGCATCATCCTCAACCCTTTCTTTTGCTTTTTTATGTCGGCGAAGTGGAGCGGAGTATGGGGAAGGCACAAGGTTTGTCTGGACCGCAGGACTATTGTTTTGTTCGCGATGCCTTTTTTGTTGGGTAGCCGTGTGCGGCGAGACTAGATCTCTGCGGAATGGCCGGCTGTCGGGCCCACCGCCGCACCCACGCGCCTTTACGTCGCATACGCTTTGCCGCTTCGGACGCTGTTCTGAGGTGTCGGCGCGGTGGGTCGTCGGTCGATCGGTCTGTTTGTCGGGCAGATGAGCGGGGTTCAGTTCGGCATTCTGATTGTTGCGACGAAGGACGGTTCCCGCGAAAGACTTGGACGGGGGCGGAGAGATCGAGAGATTTGATGTGACCACGGAGCCACAGAGCCTTATACACCGGCCGAATCAACAGGGGATGGAAAAGTGGTGACGTGCGAGGTAGCGGCAGTAGAAATGGACAACGATAGCGCTGGGCTGGGATCTGATGCAAGGGATTTGTTCCACATGAAGACACTTTACTGAGTCAGCTTCGGCATGCGAGTACGCCGGAACGTCTCTTCATTGCTTTAGTACCGTTCCCCATGCTCTACTTGAAGAATTATTGGCAGCCAGATTAAAGCAGCTATCCGAGTCAGACAGTGATGGTTTCGACTGTCTCGCTCCGTCTTTGTTCGAATCTTGGAGATTCATTGGAAGCTGCATTTTTTGGTCTCGTAAACTGTGGCTCCACCCCTGCCTAATGTGGAGCTCTAACCCTCAATTGTCGAAAAACTCAGCCCCTGGTGATGCCAGATACTCTGAATTGCAGTCAACAGGCCACTGAATATCTTGTTGATCCCCGGAACTCGGATTTCGGGATGCTAGGGCGCTTGAGAGCTCTGGGCTTACTGAGAAATGCTTCAACATTAACTATATGTAACTAAAAAACATCACCGTCAATTATGAAATGGGGGTGTGGCGCAACGGTAGCGCGTCAGATTCCAGAGCCTCCGTGCAGAATCATTCTTGGTGTTCTCGGTTACTGGAACTTCCTGAAGGTTGAGCGTTCAAATCGCTCCATCCTCATCACCTTTTGTCACCTCGTCCCCTAGATCGGCAAACCTTTTGGGGCCACTTTTGGGGCCAAAGGAGATCCTTTCTAGCGGCTCAATATAATACCTCGAGTGGCACCCAATAGCCGCCCTTTCAAGCTGCCCCTGTTCACTTCTGGACAGTTTCACAGTGAACAATGTTTCGCGTGTCTTTCGGCGTCAGCAGATCCCTAAACGATCTATGAGAAGGCACAGAAGCTGCACAGGGCTGGGAGTGAGACAAAGACGACTTTACTTTTGTTTGTTGCACAAGGGGTGTTCCGTGCATTCTCAACCTTTGATCAAGAGCTCGATAAAACAAGGGCAACTGCGGCAAAGACGCGCCTCATTACGAAGAACCTCGTCCTATGCAAATCCGTTCTCTGTCTGGGATGAAAGGCTTTGGGAGTTTGAGATTGGGAGTGGTGAGAGAGAGCGGCGGCTTTGGCATTATTATCGGTCGGCGAGGCGGTTGGGGATTTCCTTGCCGACAATCGGCATGCCGAGCTGACTGCGTCTGCTTCGACCAGCGGTATCCGCCCGTTATCCAACACACTTCCGTCGCAACATTCGAGAGCTTCTTGCGTTCACTTCGACTGGAACCCGGAAATCGCCAATGAGCTCTCTACTGGATTTTCCTCGCCACTTCCCAACTCTTTGCCTTCGCACTGTGAACACGACATGACCACGCGTCGCTCGTCAAAATATCTGCTCCGAACGGCCTTTTTTCCATTCGATCGTTTTCGCTCCGAGTGAAACAGATGGTAGTAGTCGTTGTAGAGCTTGGAAAAATTGCGCAGCTTCGACAGAAGTCGAACACGTCGAAGGAAGCTATCGGATTTGTCCAGGATGAGAAGCCAAACATCCGCCCAGCAGATGACGCTACTTGCTTGGAATTCATCCGCACGATCAACTTGCAAGAGTGTCGTTGATTCTCTTATGAGGACACCTGGTACTGCGGTTGGAGCCAAGGAGCAGTGGTCCATCGCACAACCATGGTTACATCGTGTCGAGGGCGCTTTCATTCACTGTACTGTACATCTAGCTGAGCATCTGCAATTCCTTTTGGGGCCCACCGTACTGCCCAACAGCAGTGGCGCCAGAAAGGGAAATCAACGTTAAGACAAGAAGAAAGCAATTGATTACGCGCCCGTTTTGACATTCCCAGTCTTTAATCAAGGCAATTGCCCATGTCTCTCGCAGTGGCCGATACAAGGAGCATCCAGTCGAGCATCCTGGCATGCCTATGGGTTCGAGGAAGAGTGCAGAAACAATTCGTGCGAGGAATCTTTCTAGAAAACAGGGTTTTCGAGCTGCCAGATGGCGAGAGTGATGTCACAGCCTGACTCCCCGATAATCTCCCTGATCTTTGGAGCGACTGTAGTCTTCCAGCGCGCGTTGTCCACGTCCAAGACCTCAATGAGGGCCGTCACCTCCCGATGGTCAAACTCCAAGGAACCGAAATAGACCAACTGCAGGGTCTGCCAGATCATCCTACTCTCCTTCAGAATTCGTAGAATCGCGGGCTTGAGCGAGCTTTTCCACACTCCGATCGCCGGATGTCCGGCCTCGAGAATCTGCATCTGAGGGAACTGGCACTCATCGATTTCGATGTGCAGTCTTGGATCGTTACGGTCAAGTTGGAGCTCCTGCACCAGACAGGCAATGGCGTCGTGCCAGTGGTTGCTTCCCTTGACGCTGGTGAAGGCAGTGATGGCGAGCATCACCACTGGTTCGATGTTGTCGTTGTTCCGCGTGCGTCGCTCCCCGATGTCGTACGTCATGAAACCCAATTTGGAACGAAGTTTTTCGATAGATCCGGAAATACTGCATTTTTCCTTGTAATTCATTTTGAGCGATGGTGCAAACGGGAAGGTTTTTTTGAAGGTCGTGGGGAGAGGCAATAGTTTCGGCCATCCTATGCGATAAGACTCCTCCTCAATGCTGGCTTTGACTTCGCACTCGCTGAGTTGCTCCATCCTTCGTCCAGCGCTTGTTCTGGAAGAGCGAGAAAATTGAAAGTGGTGTATGGACGGTTGGCGTGGAAGGCCTATGTGTGCTCGGTCTCTGGAAAATATGTCGCAGGGGTTTACGCGTGTCGATATCGTGGATTTGGTGCCGATGGAACGGTGACAAAGAATGGCAACACGAGATTACTGTGGTTAGTTGTCTTATACATACTCGGGGGTTGGTGTTGAACCACATATATCAGCATTTTTTTGAGCGAGAGGAACCGATGGTCAACACGGTCAACCACCAGTCTTTGAACCTTGGAACCCTCGCTCGAATACGTAACAGAGCCACCCTCTACCGAATTTTGTGAAAGAGACGTCAAAATGAATCCATGGGCACCTTTTCCAAAACTAATCACCCCAGTGGTCAGCGCCATCAATGGTATACATGTATGCGGGAGTGTTGTGATATTTGCTTTCGAATTTGAAGGGTGTTGTTGTGTGTCATACATATAATGCCTCGCACAAATATGAGATACATAAGATGAGTGAGGCAATGAAAGGAGAAAGGAGACAAACAGAAACGTGTCAGACTGCCTTTATGCTTGTCTATCTGGTTGAACCATTTTTCCACACGCCAATGTACGTCCCGAGAAGGAGAATCGAGGAAAATAATCGATAGCGCCAGATCCCACACTGTTGGAACTTTCGTGAGAGAACGAGGCTTGGTAGCAAAAGTCGTGGCACACGCAACCTCTGAATCACTACAGTGGACGCTTGAATGCTCCCTGATGGACGTGACTGGTTCCCTACCTGCTCTTGTCTTTTGTGTCACGAACTTTCCGACCAAGCCCCGGAAACATTCGTGTGCTCGTCATCATTGTCGTCATCATGGACTCTGGTTGCCCAAACCCTCGGCCCACGTCTTGACACGCCCCCTGAGCTCCGCCATCGCGCCAATCTCGAGCCAAAAGTGTCCTGCACCTTCGATCTCATGCCATGCAAAGCGCGAATGCTTGCACGGCGGAGCGACAGGAGCGGCAGGTTCATCTATCTGGCCCTGCTGCTGGTCCGCCTCGGCTTTGGATTCAGTGGACAGCTTGCCGCACCACGCACGCAGACGCTTGGAGCCCGTAAAACCATCGCTGGCGCCGAAGAGGACGAGGGCAGGATGCGTCGTGAGCGGGTTGGTTGATGGGGAGCAGCAAGACGGAGAGGAGGAGAAGAACGAGAGGGAGAGGGAAAGAGACGAGAGGGCGAGGGATGGTGCGATGAGGAACGAGAGCGGGGGCAGGAGAGGAGAGATGAGGAGATAGGCGGGAGAGATGGCGAGCCGTCCAGAGGCTGGGAGGGGCGGTGGAGGCGCTTCGTCGTCCTTGTCCGGAGTTGCTGTGTTCTCATGCTGGCGGTGATGCCGCGGCGCTTGAAAGGAACTGCGCAACTCCTTTCCCCAACTCTGTGGGCGGCGCAAGTCCAGGCTCAGACTCCGCCGCCCATTGGCGCCCGCGTCCTGGCTCTTTCGCTTGCCGCTCCCCGCCGTAGCAGCAGCATCGCTCTCGTAGCCACCGATGGTGACCGGGCTCTTGCGTCGACTCTCGAAAGTCGCTCTTGGACTCGTGGGGCTGAGGTGCTGCTGCTTTTTCGAGGCCTCATGTTGCTCCACAAGCTCCTCAATTGTGCGGGCTGCGAGACTGCTGGCGAGCTGGTGTATGATGCTTGCGGCCTGGCTTGTGGGCGTAGACTGAAAGGGAGCGAGGAGAGAGTCTATGGGAGGGAGGCGCGTGACGATAAGAGAGCCATAGGAGTAGCCACCAAAGACGACATGGATTGGATGTCCGCTCACGTCTTGTGTTCGCGAAGCTGTTGTGGAAGATGCCCCCGGAAGCTTCAAGGCGTGCATGTAGCAGACCAATGCGCCTGCAAACGACATGTAGTCTACTAGCTCAGGCTTTCCAGTCCAGCTCGTGCGGCCGCTTGAGTTGTGTGCACCCCTGCTTTCCATTAGACCATGGTCTACAAGTGTTGCGGGATTCCTGCCTGAAGTTGAATGTCCCCACAACATATCCTTGGGCCAGCAACTCAGCGCCCACATTTTCAACAATGGGATCATCGAAGCCTCCGCCCAGTACTGCGTAAGGGTGCGCGAGAATGGCAACTTTGCGCGTCCATTCTGCGCCCGAATCAAGGTCCAGGTCGACGAGACTCGCCGGGTGGTGGATGCGACAATCGAGCGGCGTGCTGTCGTGGAGAGACGGGATTCGAAAGCTGTAAGCTACTGGTAGGAGTTGGGAGCCCATGGCTGGGTTCCCGTGCGTCTCGAGAACTCAGGGCATGCCGTGTTGGTGGACGTGTTGGCTTTGGAAACTTTTGTGCGGTTGTAGAGTGTTGGGGAACATGGAGAGTTGAGTCCATCCCCCGATGCCGCGGGGCATGGTGACGTAGCTCGCAAGCACCATATTTTGCGAGGTGGTCCAAATGTGGCAGAAAGACAAAAAAAAAGAGCTGCCAATGAATGAATGCCTTCATATATCTCACATCATTGAAAGCTCTCAACGTAAACCAATGTGGTTGCCTCGCGCGCTGTTAGTTCCGCGTATCGCGGACGTTCTCCGCAGTCCTTCCTCCAGACGTCAAACCATCGCCATCACCAAACTTTTACCTCCCAGACCACAACCACCGCATCGGCAAAGATGGCATCAGCCGCGGAGACAGTGCAGCCACCGCGCGACCTGCCTGCAATGACAAACGCGCAAGCAATGCCCTTTCTCTCGCAATTCGTCGGGCGCAACCTGCGCATCCATGTCTCCGACGGCCGCATGTTCATCGGCCAGATGCGATGTACAGACAAGGTAACTATCCATAAATCCACATATCTGAACTCTCTCCTACAGTCCACTATCAAACCATGTAGCTAACCGATGGACTTCCGCCCGCACAGGACCGCAACACCATTCTCGCGCAGACCCATGAGTACCGGCAGCCCAGCGCGCACGCCCTCCGCGACGCCCTCTCTTCCCCGGAAGCCGCCTCCTCCGCCTCGCTC